TCACGGAGGCAAAAACAACTCTCTCTTCCCAATCATCTCCGATGAGACCGGAACGAGCTTCATCCTCAGAGCGAACAGAGAGACATTTTTATTCTGTTTCTGCTCAGTCGGGGTTCGTGCCACAATTACAGCCTGACGACGTGGAGGAACTGCTGCGTTGTGCTCTTAAACCTCTCGGCCCGACAGTTTTTGGCTGTTTCCTCGACCACTAAGTGCTACCTCCGACCAGATCGTGTTTCATTTCATGGAGGACGTGCAGATAAAGGGGGCCTGCTCCGCCTCCGATCTGCGTCCTCGTCCTCAGTCGGAAACCTGAAGGACGTGGGCGACCTCCAGAAGACCTCCAGACGTTCACTCACCTGCTCAGAGGATTCAGCAGCGTCTGCGGTCGCTCTTTATAGCGGCTTTCAACTGACAGCTCTTCTTGTTAGAGTGCCCTCGAGCAGAGACCCTCAACCCTGACCTCAGGGTTCCCACTCGTCCTGGAAAAGCTGGAAAATCTGGACTAGAAATACACTCTGTTGTCCTGGAAGGTTGTTATTGTATTTTAGCACCTCACTCAGCTTTTAAGCTTCATAAAGAACGTGAGACGCTTCATAAACTGGACCTAAAGTCAGTGCTAGGCCGTGGAAAATCTTGAGAAGACTGGGAACCCTGGTTGTCAGGTTGAGGCCTTTTGAAGGTGCGTTTGATGTTTGGCGTGGTGCGTTCAGAGGCGACACACCTGGGAGTACACAGAAAGATGGAGGGAGGGAAGAGTGGGAGTAAATGAACAGAGGAGACGAGGTGTGTGTGTGTGTTACACCCAAAAAGTGGCGAGGTGAAGGGAGAAAGTTGCTGCCGGCTGCAGCTCTAATCTCCATTAATCCCAGTGATAATCCAGACGGCGTCAGGAGGCGGGTTTTGGGTGAGGAGGAGTTAATCTCCCCCTCGCTTGCACCCGCCTCCTCCTCCTCTGAGATGGAGGGAGACACTTCAGAGGACGGGAGGAGATGGAGGATGAAAGAAAGCGCTGAGTTTCCACTCAGGACTCGACTTTAAAGATAGATTTTAATTTAGTGAACGATCAAAGAGACGACTTCAGTCAGGTTTCACTACCGCCTTTAATATTTTAAAGCTGCAGCGACGACAGAGCTGCAG